GCAAGCTACCGAGAGTATCCCGCCCACATGGCAGAGTCTTGCAAGCTCCTCATAACGTATTCAATATGCCAAAAACAGTAACAACAAGTCACACAATGGAAACGTGACTGGTGTCCACTCAAGCAAATCGATGAACAACAGGAGGACAGTGTCACAGTGCTACAGAATTGTATTAGTTGAGGAGGCTGGAGCCATAGGACAGCAGACAGGGTTCTAGCCTTGCAGGCAGCTTGACCTGGGTTTGATCTCCAAGCATCCCATATGGTCCCCTAAGCACTGCCAGGAGTCAGTCTCAAGTGCAGAGCCAGGGGTACATCTCAGGATGTGGCCCCCAAACAAACAAACAAAAGAGTGTTGTTAGTTGAAAGAGAATAGTCTATCCTAGTCGTTAATCATAATCTTGTTAATAACATCTAAGTGCATTAACCAAGAATGAGCTCAGGCTCTTTTTCTCCAAAATTATTCCTAGAAAAAAATATTTTCAAATAGCCTATAAAATAATTATTAAATATAAACATAATTATATAAACAGTCGCCTCGATACGATGCTTCAGTCGTGAGGAGATAATGCAGTGTTCTGAGCTGGGCCAAGGGAGTTACATTAATTATAGGGATCTGCCTCAGGATGGCCTGTGCCCCGAGCAGACAAAGTGCATGAGCCTTCCAGAGAGGAGGGCCCGTGTCAGGGTGATCAGAGCGTGAATCTGGAGCACTTTCCCCGGCGCTGGCCGCCTGCCAGCAGCAGCGCCTTACAAGAAACCTAGATCTCATCTTCCCCCATCACCCGCCCGCCCACCTCTCTGCCAGGAGACAAAGCCACGTCAATTATCTGTCTATCCAGGAGGCTCTCTGCAGACTGGAGTAACGGGGCTGAATGGGAATCGGGTCTTTATGAAACAACTTGTTCCCCCCCCCCCACTCCGTCGCCAAAAGCGTCAGTGAACCTCGTGATGAAGTTCTGAGCGCTTTACCCCCTTCCCTTTTCTTTCTGTTTTTGTTTTTTATAAAGGATTTCTTTTTCCATTTGACTTGTTTTGCTCCCCCGCCCTTCCCTTCCTTGTGCTGGTTGTTGCGGTGACTGAGCCCCACAACTGACTGTGGTGCTCGCACACTCTGCCACAGTGCCCGCTATGGTTCACAACTCTTTCTCATTGGTGCTCCCGGGGAGGGGGTGTCAGTGCTCCAAGACATTTAATCCCTGGTTGTAGTAGTGCTTGGCTGGGGTCCGCCACAGCGCTCATGCACATACAGGCTGGGATCACACTTCCTATCCATGGCATTTATGTGTCTTTTTTTTCTTTTTGGGTCACACCCAGCGATGCACAGGGGTTACTCCTGGCTCTCACCCTGGAATTACTCCTGGTGGTACTTGGGGGACCATATGGGACGCCAGAGATTGAACCCAGGTTGGCTGCATGCAAAGCGAATGCCCTACCCGCTGTACTATCGCTCTAGCCCCTATGCATCTGTTGTTGTTGTTGTTGTTGTTGTTGTTGTTGTTGTTGAGGTGCTTGCCAGGGTCTTACTTCCCTTTGTGGTGGCCTAAGCGGACTAACCCCGGGATACTGGGGCTCTCAGGCAGCCCAAGTGCCAGGCTGAAGGAACTGAGTTGCCGGGATTGGACTCAGCACATGTGGGACACTGAGGATTCGAGCTTGTGACCACACACTTGCCAGGCCGGAGCTCTGAACCCTGCACTGTTCCTCCAGGCCTCCCTCACGCTCCCTTCCTTCCACCGCCTGCAGTGGGAGCTGGGAGCTTGTTCTCCTGTCTCCGAACAGCAGGACGTGTCTTTTTGTGGAAGACTTTGAAAGAGGGGTAGATTTGTTTCCGTCTGAGTGAGACACCATTTCACAGCAGGACATACTGCCTTCGTCTATTACAACAGAAGAATTGCACGTGAATAAAAACGTCAGGGTGAAGTCTTGATGAATAGTATCTCCTGTGCAGTTGGTCATTTCCATCCAATTGGTCGTTTCAGAAGGATTATGAAACAGGAGAATTTTTTTTTATTCATATAAAGCCAATGGAAATTAAAAAAAAGCTTGTTCGGTGATTTAATTTGGGGGTGAGGGGAGTTTAGCTGTGGAATGTGTTGGCCAGGAATCCCTGGGAAGTTTATTTTAGAATCTAGACTGTTTCTTATGTCATTGATGGCACCCTGGTGATTTAGCGTTAGTTGTTTTCTTATATTATCTTAGGGGGTCCTTCTTCAGTAGATCCTGGGGATCATTCCTACAAGTACTTAGCCCAGCTCTGCAGGCCTGATGGAGACCGTGAGGGTCACCCTGTGGTGGCGTGGGACCACCAGGGCTCCATCAGCTCATGCTCAGTGCAGGGGATTGAAAAGATTTACACTCCAGCCTCTGGAGCTGTCTCCCCGCCCTAGTTGTATTGTTTAATTCAGTTTAGCAAAATAAAATACATCTTCATTATCAAGACGCGTCTGCCCACTGGAGCTTAGGGATATTTCTGCAGATCCCACCTCCCACCCCTTACTCACTTACCAGCCCGAGCAAGTGAGAGCAAGTAGGTGAATGAAGACTGGGGGGGGGGGGGGGGGGGGGGAGAGGGAACAATTCTAAAACAGTAGTGGTAGTCTTATTTATAGTATTGAAAGCCTCTGCCAAAAAAGAAATTGCTAAGCCAGACAGATCTAAAGGGCAGGGAAAAACAATGAATTTGAAGTGAGAAAATGGTTCTAGTCTCAGGCTTGCCACCAAGTAGCTCTGCCCTACAGTCTGAAAGTGGGTCCCCTTGCTAACTGATAACCTCGTCTGTCACTAGGGAGACTGCATACCCGGACCCCCTTCTAATCTTTAGCGATGGCAAGTTCTGTCCTTCCTACCTTCCTCACTCCATCTTGCTTTCTCCCGCACACTGTTTCCTGCCTTCCTGGGAAACAGCTGGGCCCCTGCACATGATTCAAGGTCCCATCCATTCCACCCCACGGAGCCACCGGTCCTGACCTTGACAAGTCCCCTTGCCCACGGTTCTGCGCGTCAGGCCTGACAAGGGTGGGCTACCCCAACTGCTCCCTGCCTGTCTCTCAGCGGTTGTATAGGCCAGAACAATTTTACAAAAGCTGAATCCCTCCGAGGGAGGGCCCGCCTGCGTCAAACGTTTCAGTACTTGAGCTGTAATTATTGCTATCACGCTCTGGAATCTGGAGGGACCGAGGAGGAGCTGGCGGAGATAGGCCTTGTGTTTATGATAACAGAGTGGAAAGCGGCCTGCTGGGGACCCACTTCATTTACTGATAAAGACATGGAAATGGAGAAAGTGTGAGTGGTGAACTGGAGGCCCGAGGCCTAACTAAGTGAGGTGTCCGGAGCTGGGTCATCCACATAGAAGACCCCAGAATTGGTTCTTGGTTTCTACAGCTTTGCATGGGATGACTCTGGGCACTCAGTGCTCTGTGCAGGGAGGGTCCAGGGGTTCAATGATGAAAAACTACCTGGTCAGGTTCATTCCTGCAGGCAACCTGTGTGCACTGGGACCAACAGAAATGCCCAACAGCCAGATGACCCACCCCCCACCAAGCCCCATTTCCCATGTTGTTCCCACACTCAATCTGCTTGGAGATAACGTGGAAGTCTCTTGATCTAGGGGAGCTCAGAGGAGCTCCAAAGTCAGCACCACCACCAGATAGCCAAGGCCAGTGTGGCTTGCTTCTGCCTGTCAGGATATAAGTGAATCACCCTTGAGATGTCTCTCTAGTGAAGAGAGCCAGAGACCTAAACCTGTGTGGTTCCTTGTCCGCAGTCACGTTCCCACCAGAGCTGCTCCCATCATAACATCTGCTCTCGTTTCGTTTATCTCATCAATTTATGTATTTCAATTAAGCAGCTGCTCTCCGTTGGGCCCTATGTTTGCTTGGTTAGGAGCAAGCCTGCAGTTGTTGTCGTATTTTTTCTTAACTTTTTGTCTTTTGGGCCACACCCTATAGTGCTCAGGGCTTACTCCCAGCTCTGTGCTCAGGGAACCCTCCTGGCAGGCTCAAGAGACCGGATTGAACCCGGGTTGTGCTGTGTGAAAGGCAAATGCCCTATTGCTGTACTGTCCCTCCATGCCCCCCACCACCCCACCTTGCTGCCCCCAAGTATATGACATTTCTTCTTGGAAGCTATATGAACAGTTTGTGGGCACAGACCCTCAGGAAGGGATCCTCCACTTTGATCTTGGCTGTTGCCCTGCACGGGGCAGGATCTGATTTAGGGGGGTTTCATGTGCCTCCTGTCTGGGTCAGGGCTCTCTCCTCCTGTCTGTGGGGCTGAGACCCCAAGGAACTCACTGGGGGGGAGGGGGAGTGAGACCTCTTTAGGCCCAGAGCTCTGGAATTTTCTGCACAATATCTGGATGCTGTGCCTGCCAGCCTGCCCTCATGCAGGCTCCTGTCCCCTCACCAGTGTCCTGGCCTGGCTGTGGTAGCTGCAGTGCCCCCACAGAGAGGCCACGACTGGTAGAGGTACATGGGTCCACTTCCTGGTTCTGTGTAGCTGAGACTGTCCTCACTACCCCGAGGAAATTTGTGGCCTCCTAGTCAGTGACTGTCTAGGGACCCACTTTGTCTCTCCAGTGAGCCCACCGGGTTCAGGGGACCTCCATAGACTCCTTTGCTAGTCCTGGCTGTGGTTTTTGCAGAAAAAATGTCAGGCCGATGACTCCTAGGATAACCCATGTCGCCATTTGATCTAGAAATTTCATTCTCATTTGTGGGATGGAAGCAGATGTCAAGACAGTCACAGGCTAGAGAGATGGTAGGTACACTAACCTAGTTGATCGCCTGACATCACATGTGGCCCCGTGAGCACTGCCAGGAGCGACTTCTGAGCACAGAGCTAGGAATGAGCCCTGAGTGCAGCCAGGTGTGACCCAAAGATCAACCCCAGTCAGAACCAAGAGGTCAAGGCTGTCGCCAGCGCAAGATAGAAGAGTCTGTGTGAGTGTGTCGTGCCCGGGGGCGAGCAGTGCTGACGTCTCTCCTCCCCTCTCTACAGAGAGAAGACACGGTTCAATGTGCAGACCCTCTCTCTCGCCCGCGTCTCCACCCTCCAATTCCAGGACGTCACTCGTCCCAGGGAGAACCAAGACCTGTCTGAGCGGCCATAACTCTGCCAGCAGCACCTCAAAGCCATTCAAAACGCCCAAAGACAATCTTCTTACCTCCAGCAGCAAACAGCACACGGTCTTTTCTGCGAAAGGATCGAGAGACAAACCATGGTGAGTGTGGGCTACTGACAGCCAGCGCCGTGGGTCCTCGCCGTGGGCCCCCACCCCGCTACCTCTGGGACGGGCGGTTCGTCTCGGCCTTTGTTCCTGCGCTTCGTGGGCAGGATCTGGGAGGGAAAGGAAGACCCAAGTGAGGGAATGAGAAGCCTCATCGTTAGCAGGAACCTGGGTTCTTAACCATCCACTTAGGTCCAGGGTGTGGCTCAGGGATAGTATGCATGCCATGTGTGGGGTGAGGCCCTGGGTTCAAGCCCCAGCACTGCAAAAAACAAAAAAGTGCCACATGCCTGACTGGGTTTTGTTTTGTTTTGTTTTGTTTTGTTTTTTTCCCCCTTGAAACGTACACCAACTTGTATCAAAGGGTCCCAGGGAAAGATTCCCCAGTTACACAGACACCTATCAGTTATCGACCCTAGTGAAGAGATGCATTAGCATAAATAATAGAAAATGCAATAGGAAGCTCTGCAGTGGAGAATGAGACCATGGGACAGTCACCCCATGCAACCTCTGGGCCCCAAAACTCACTACCATAATGCAGGTGACTGATGCCCCAAACCTCACTGCCAAAGTGCAGGTGACTGAGGCCCCAGACCTCACTTCCAAAATGCAGATGGATGAGGCCCCAGACCTCACTGCCATAATGCAGGTGACTGAGGCCCCAGACCTCACTGCCATAATGCAGATGACTGAAAAATCAGTCACTCCATTCATTTTCAAAACATCAGTTTTTTGCCCAGTGAATCAGGGAAGGGAAGGCATAGATGGAGGGAACCCAGATGAAAAATAAGGACAGATAGCATGAATCTTCCAGTGCTCATGTGCCTGACTTGAAACTGGCTTATGACAGGGCTGGAGAGACGGCTTGGCAGGTACGCACATGCTTTTCATGCAAGAGACCCAGGTTGGATCCCCAGCACCACAAGGCCCCCTGAGCAACTCCAGGAGCAGTCCTGAGCACTGAGTTGGGAGTAGCCCATGAGCACCACTGGGTGTCGTCCAAAGACAAACAAACAAAACTGGCTTGTTACAGTTATACTAAGTTCAGTACTAATGGAGAAAAAGTCTTCTACTAGTGAATGGGAGTTCCTTCCTGGGAAAGCTGGGGGTAGAACAGCCCATCAGGGGCCGGAGAGATCGTACAGCAGGTGAAGCACTTACTTGCCTTGCATGTGGCCAGCCCAGGTTCCATCCCCGGCACCACTTAGGGTCCTCTGAGCACTGCCAGGAGTGTTCCCTGACCTCAGAGCCAGTAGTAAGCCCTGAGCACCGCCAGGTGTGTCTCCCACACATGCCCGCACACACACACATACACCCCGCAAAAAAAAAAAAGATGGAGAAAAAAATGAAATCACCCCTTTGTGTATTTGGTCCCCGCACTCTGCAGGAGGAAGTTTTTGTCAAGAGCTCATGAGGTCTGGCTTGTTTAGGAACCTCTTGCAATTCTGTGGAAAGGTCTTGGTGTGGCCCACTGTCAGCCATGGGACATTCCTGTCCTACAGGAGACTTCGGGGTCAAACTTTGGACTTTGTGTCTGTCATATAGGAGGGTGCAGTGACTACAGAAAACCCAGCCTGAGCATGCTGGCGGGCATCCTGCAGAAAGAGGCAACCTAAGGGACCCCAATGTAGGCAGAGTTCTTGAATCCCTGCCTGAGGACTGCTCTTAGCGATGCAACCCTGGACGCGATGCTGAAACATGGCATGCTATTGTTTTCAAACTCTGTAAAATGGGACCGTTAGATGATCCGTCGCTTCCAAGGAATGGTTATTAGGATTGGGTGAAGGAATTCTCTCTAAACACAACCAGAACCATTTTGTTTAGAGAGCAGATTGCCTATGGGATCACTGTCTGGTGACAGTGTTGTTGTTGTTGTTGTTGTTGTTGTTGTTGTTGTTGTGTGTGCAGTAGGATGGAGAGCCTGTACGGGGGGGTCAAAGTGAGAAGTGAAATCTCTTTGGAAAAAACTGACATGGTTCTTCAGACTGAAGTTGGATCTGGAAAAGATCCTTGATTCCGGGCCCAGAATATGAGCTCCAGAGAAAGCCAATCACGATACTCGTGAGGAATAAACCACAAGGAAAATGCGAGCTGTGGAAGATCATAGCATGAATGTCATAAATGATAAATGACCAATTTGGACTCAGAACTCTGAGACAGAGCCCCAAAAACCATCCCCTGAGGCACTCTTTCTAGGAGACTGCCCGGGTGAAAACGACCCTGATGTTGAGTTCAGACCAACTTCACACACACACACTTCTCTGTGTTTCCTTTTTCTCTTTTTTTCGTTTTTGGAGCACACTCAGTGGTGCTCAAGGCTTCCTCCTGGCTCTGTGCTTAGGGATTATTCCAGGTGGAACTCTGGGAACCATGCTCAGCTCTGGGGATCAAACTGGGATCAGAACAAGGCAGTTGCCTTAACTTGTGTACCATCCTTCCAACCCACTTCTCTTTCTTCCTTTTATTGAGGGGTGGCCTGGGGAGGGGGCTCCCAAACAGTACTCAAGGGACCTAGGGGCCACTCCTAAGTGCTACTAAGCCAACCAGCGAGCCTGGATGGTTCAATATGAGGAATTGAGGGTGCAGACCTGCTCGGGCCTGTGCTGCTGGTGCCATCAAAGCAACCCCAGCAGTGTTTGGGGATCCTCAGGGCCATATGGGGCATGCAGGGAGCCAGGTAGGGCCAGGATTCAAACTCAAGTCCTGGGCATGCTTTGAGTGCACCCCTCAGCAGCTGAGAACCCTCAATCTGACCCACTTGCTATAATGCAAGGTCCTTTCAGCTAGAGGCAAAACTAATTGGGAGAGAATCTGAAGAAACATCCAGGCTCGAAATAAGAGCAGCTGAAAGAATTATAAGGGAGAGAGCTCTTTTGCATATGCCAATTTTTTTTTTTAAGTTTCACTGGCCTGGGAGGTGGCTTAAACGGCGGGAGCACATGCTTTGCAGGTGGAAGCCCAGTGTTCATTCCCCAGCTCTGCATGGTCTGCCCACACCAGCAGTAGTGATAACTGATCATCAAGCTGGGAGCGGCCCCTGAGCATAGTGTGGGTGCTTAAAAAAAAGGCTTTTTAGAAAGAAAGAAAGAAAGAAAGAAAGAAAGAAAGAAAGAAAGAGGGAGGGAGGAGGGAAAGAAAGAGAGAGAGAGAGAAAGGCTCTGAAAACTAGAGTACTCAAGGTTGGAGAGATAGTACAGCAGGTGGGGCGCTTGTTTTGCACACAGCTGACCAGGTTCTATCCCCAGCACCCTATATGGTCCCCTCAATCTGCCAGGAATGATCCCTGAACAAAGAGCCAGGAGTAAGCTGTGAGCATTGCCAGGTGTGCCCTAAAAACAACAATAACATATAAACCCTGCATGCTTGCCTTGTGTCAAGAAAAGTTATGTGTGTTTCAGTGACTTTGGGCAGCTAGATAATCTGGAGACAGAGCGGGCTAGAGCCCGAATGAGGCTGAGCTCTGAACGTCCTCAGCCCTGGGCAGCCCCACTGTGCCCCGCCCCCCAACACACACACACACACACACACACACACACACACACACATATACAAACACACACAGTCAGCATTAAGACAAGTGTGAGGAAGGCTGGGAGCTTGAGTTTGGAGGCTTTGAGGCTTCCACCTCAGCTCACAGCCACCCAGCCCCCCACTCAAAGATCATTGTAGGAGGGTAGAGGCAAGAAAAGCCAATTCAAGTTATGGCACAGCCACTAACATCTGTATAACCTTGAACAAGCCATGTAGCTTCTCTGGGGCTTATTTCCAGTCCAGATATCTAGGGATTCTAAGTCACAGTCTTCAAAAAAAAATTTTTTTTTTGACATGGTTTTTATGTTCTACTGAATTAGGAATTGTCCCCTTGACTCATCTTAGGGATCCTCTACAAACTGACTCAGAACTCCATAATCCCCTGGGCTGGAGAGATAGATAGTACACGGTTAAAGTGCTTGCTTTGCATACAGCTAACCCCTCCTTCAATCTAGCACTGCATATGGTCCCCTGAGTACCGCTGTGAGTGACCCCTGAAATCAGAGCCAGGAATAAACTCTGAGCACAGCTGGGTGTGATCCATAAACATAAAAACAAAACCGTTACTCCAATCTTGTTTATCCAGGACTACCCCGTTACTCCAGCTTCTCCGCCGTGTCTTCCCCTGGTCCCTTTGCAGGGACTCACCCTTCTCTCTGCTCAGCTTCTCATTAATGAGCACCAACTGTAATGCTGTGTGCCAAATCCACCATCCACCTTGGAGATGCATACAAGGCTCACATGGTGCCTTTGCAGAAATTTTTGAAAGGCCTGAATGCAGGCTAGCCAGGGGCGTTTTTGGTCTTCTTCCTCTACTTATCCAGGCCTCTCAGTGCAGTGCCCAACCTGTACAGCTGTACTGTCCAACTGTGAGACACAGATACCGTGCCCAACTGTGAGACACAGACACCATCTATGTGAGTCTCCAGAAAGAGACAAAGTGAACAGAGCTAGTCTTCCCAAGGCCAGATACTGGCACAAAAGAGGCAATACACCTAAGCCAAGATGGTGTCTTAGGAAAGATTTTGGAAAAACCCAGGAATGTGACTCGGTGGTAGAGCACTTGCCTCACATGTGTGAGGCTCTGGATTCAAGCCCCCAGCACTCATCTGTTTCTCACTCCCCAAGCACACACGGATTTTTGAAAAGAGTTCTCCCTTGAGTTGAATTTGATGCCAAGGAGGAATGAACTGGTCAGAGAAGACCAAATTGGAATGGTAAAATGTTGTGTTGCCTGTATATGGTTGTGTTGTACCATCATCAGAGTTTTAAGGAAGTTGGAAAGGAATTCAGGCAGTGGGACCAGCCTGCGTAGAATCACTGCCTCTGGGGAGAGGTAGCAGATGAAAGTCGATGGTGAGGTTCCACCTTGAGCATGTTCAGGGATGTGAGCTTTGCCCTGAAAACTGCACAGCGCTAAGAATCACTGGAATAAGATCCAAGAACTGGACTAAGATCCACCC